GCGTGTCTGCTAATTTTCCAGTCCCAATGAAGGGGAATTCTTTTACACGATTTTCCAGACATGGGGTTGTTTGTGTTGTAAAATGCGCTCAAAGGGGAAGGAGGATTCATTTTACGCAGAAATATGAAATTATCAGAGTCCTAAATTAGCCGCATTGGCACCATTTCGATTTCGGCTGATTTTATCAATGAGGCTTAGTTTCACCCAAGCAAGCTATGATAAACGAGGGGAAATACGGTCAAATAAAATTTGAAACTCATGCTTAAACCGATGAAAGGATAGAGGAGGAAATCAGTTCCTCAATTTACAGAATTGCGAATTGCTGGTTTGTTTATCAAAAGTGTCCGTTTAAAGAACAATGTCGACAGTCAATTTTTTTCATAAGCAGTACAATTCAAGAACAGAATCATTTTGATGGACCCAAATATGCGCTTCTTTGCCAAACGAGGAACAGTTATGCTTCCTTTGTTCCCTAACTGTCGAATATGTGTAGTTAAATATCGACGACCTCATCGACAAAATTGAAGACAAGACGTCGGCACTACCATCGCCGAGAGTTTGAAGCTTTACAAAATTGCGTTGGATGAATTCGGAATTTTAGGCCGAAACAAGTCACCGACGTCTTGACCATACTAAGACGGTCCACTAAAATGCCCAAAATGACTCCAGAATTCCAATTCGATAAGAATTTTGTGTCCGGCAACAATTTTTGTGTTCGAAATGGTTTGATAAAAGTGAGAATTTGGGTAAAGCAAGAATTTTGTGGGAAAGACTACTCATGCGGTGGGACAGAGGGTAGTGCCAAGTAGCACGTAGGCTTCGATTCTAGTGTACAAGAGTTGATCCGAGTCATCTGCAGAAAACAGCATGAGCTAACAAAATAAAGTTTAACAGTAGTGAGTACCGAAAGCCATCCGCAAAACACGGAATGGCCCAGTGGTGCTCATCCCTTAATAGGCTTTTGCACAATCACTGACGGGGTTTCACGGAGGAAGGGAACCAATAAAAGAGGCTAGCAGGCCAAACATGCGTCGTTTCCGCCAAATTCGCTTCTCCTACCAATTAAAAAATTGGAAGTACCAGTTGCTATATCAGCGATTTACTGAGAGCCTTAAAAGAGCGGCTTTTGTCCGCTCTTTTCCATGCTAGCGGCATCAAGGCTGGTGTCAAGAGTGTTAGCCTCGCAAAACAACTCACTCGCTACTACAACCAGTCCAGAATCTGTCCTCATATTGACGATAGCGGTGAGAAAGTATTTGGTTGCAAATAGGAAAGTCAAATTTTTAAGAGTTCTTGGTGTCTCTACCTCATTGGGTACGCAAGGCGGCAGTACAGTGCAAACTCAAAATCAGTGGGCTCATTTCTCTTCAAGTTATGGAGTCTATTAAATCTTGTGTCTCACACCTCGACAAACCACAAAACAAAGACCTGCTTGAAGGGATTGAATTCCTTTCAATACCAACTAGAAAGGACAAACAAATGAGTTGAGTAGAACCAACGTGTAATGCTGGTTCCAGCGCCTCTTAAGGCAAAACATCAAGCAGTGGATGGTCTAGTGAAATGACAAAATAGCCAATTTGAAAGCTAGAAAGTCCTATTTAAAAGGAAGCAAAGGTAGCCCAATGTGTTGCGAAAATTTACGACTGTTAAGTGTGATAGCAATGGTCTTTAGGTTGCGCTTCCATAATTGTAAAAATTGTATCGAAGGCCTCCAATCAATTGTGCGCAGCGATAAACCGCGTGAGGCTGGCAGCTGTCAGTTGCATATTGCTCACAGGCGGCTGATGGAAGATTCCGACTTACCCGGATAAAAATTGAAAGTGGTCATTTTAAAATTACTTTTGTTTCGACATTATGTCCTAAAATCACCAGCAGTAAATGCAGCAAGCCAGCCAGTGCATGTAGGTTACAAAATGGGATGAGATTTGAAGCATATTGCAGCAAGTCAAAACCATACTTTGATTGCGAGTTACAGGGAGACTGGCGAATTGGCTAATGCGTATGATTTGTGGAGTGGCAGACACCATTGGGTAATAGATCCTTCAATTTAACAGTTTTAGGTTGTGTTTTAATTATAGTTTCTGTGGCTCTTCGAGACTTGTCACCACGTAGAAGAAGGCAGTAAGTTGGACGGAGTGAATGGCTTTGGCTTGGCCTGGAGGCCACTCCAAGGGTAGAAGGACAAGACGAATACCCAAGCGACTGTCATACAGTGGGTGGTCACTTGAAAAAAGTAGTTTAATGGTTTTCTTGAAAATGGATGACTTCAGTTCCACTGTGCATTAATTCACCGTAGCATCATCATTTAATTTAGGAAGCCTTTGAGTTCCGAAATCCTCAGTCTGCCAATCTATCTTAACCACTCTTCTGTGGTCATCAAGTTCCACAAATAACCTCAGATCCAATCTCACAGAAGCAATGACGTGTTACTGTCAAAATAATGTGATAAAATAAAAATTTAAGTCTTCCCAAAGGCGTCACATGCTTCAGGCGAGAAATTTCCAACAGACTGGTGTCTGAATGGAAACCACAAATAAGCACGATGACGCTCTGTGCAGTGCGGAGGAAGACTCCACTTGCAGTAGAACTTGGATGCGTAAATACTTGTCATTCCTCTATCGAGCCACACCGGGTGTGCAGATACTTCAGACAATCAGCAAAGCTTTATCCCCTTACTTATGGGCTACGTGCTGTCATGAATGTCATCGCTCGACTCTTCATGTTCTGTGGTAGTACAATAAAGAAATTCCTCCAAAATCATGCAGGGTAGTCTGGTTGACGAGGCGCTCATCCATTTGCTTTGACTGTATGGAGATGCTACTCATTTCTGATGACATTTTAGCCACGCATCTCACGGTAGACATGTAGAACTTGGTTGATCAAACTGTAAACGCAAAAACAATGACGAGTAAATCGGAGGCGGAACGGTACTCCTCAGTTAAGTTGCTGCTTTTTGTAACTGAGTCGGTGAACAAATTATGGGTTCTCAATGAAGTGACGAGGCGCACAAAGAATTAAAAAGAATTAACAGTTTTTACTCGCTGCAAGAAGGAGACCGCTTAATTCATCCATAACGACACAAGAGTCCTCTCATAGATAGTGACACTGCAGACACAATAAAAAAGGGATGACAAAACGAGTTCTGAGGGCAATGAAGCACTGTTTTATGTTGGGTTAATACAAAGAGCGGCTCGACTGTCACATCTCTTTTCAGAAAACGGCAGTTAATTCGACGTTCTTTTTGCAAAAAGTGGGAAAAGGCTTTGTGCGTTGAGTGCGACGGTCAGACTTTAAAGTTGGATCACCGTAAAAGTGCCTCATGGAGGAAGGTGACACCGTGCCGATAAATAACAAAGCGTGCAAATGGGTAACTAAGTGGTGCTTCATGCCAACTTGGTGTCTGATGGCAGGCGGCGAATGTTCTGCGCGATTTAATTAAAGGCAGAATAGAGTCTGCTCCAGCAATCACTTAGATTAGCTCCGCTTGATTTCACTCTACAGAGAATTATTTTTTCCACATTTCTACAGTTACTTGCAATGTAATCCCGAGTGCGACCATCAAAAACAGCAACCCAATCTCAAATTAGAGGGATTCTTCGCATTCACTCAACACCCGTTGCGCTCTCCTACTAAAACTGTTTATTTTTCCTCCTTTAAAGCAGTTTAGCTTAAAGTGGTCTTCACAAAGGCGTATATTTCGTAAAAAATATTTTTCGCGAATTTCGATCAACTAAAGCGAACATTACCAGCCCTTATTGCTGCCTCGACTCAATTCACCTGATCAGTCAGCAGCAGGGCTAAGTTCTCCTCGTCTCGTTTTCTCGAGACTTTTCTCTGACTTTAAAACACAATCCCAGTCGCGCTCAGAGAGTAGTGCAATTAGTTTACCGGACAGCATTGTATTTTGGACTTCACTTTGCCGAAATCATCTGCACCTTTTTCTCACTTTCCGGAAATAAATCTTTTTGCCTTTGTTTAAAACTTTAAAAATAAGTGTAGAAAGTGTCAAACATTTTAAAAGAACAAATTAATCACTTAAAATCTCCGTTAGCAATTTAACGAAAGCAAAGGATCGGCAATTTACGACCCATCAAATGGTGCTAAATAAAACTCAAGACGTCATGCGGTTGCTTATTTATCAAAATCACCACTTTGTCTTTGACTTATGACCATTACGTTGATATTTACAGCTTTATTGTAAATACTAGCCCAGAGTCAAATGGGATAAAAATAGACTTTCCCTTTTATCTGCTTGTTCCACCTCTAAAAGTCGGTACAGGAGTTTGATTCTTATCCTATTTAAAAATGAACATTTTCTCAGGTATCAAGGAAGTTGTGTGGGACAAATACACGGGACGTCTTGGCAAGGGCTCCCCAATGCGCTCTTCCGCATTTTACCTTCCATTTCTCTTACCGGTAGATCGGACCGTTATTTACAATGTCATGCCGGAATTGTAATGGACGCAATGAATGGAGGAAGGAATGAGTGATAATTAGCAAACAATTTGAGGGGAGGGAGGATTTTAAGGTCATAAACGTGATAAAACCCAACAAAGTCGATGTAATTATCACTTTATGCTATTTTTAAACCTGCTTTACTGGTTTTAAAAAATGCTATAAAGCCGTCACAATAAAAGGGACAAATGAACACCTTTCCGGGGATCCGTTTAACTGCCTGGTGGCTTTTGAAATGCGACCAACCCACTGCTTGGGTCCCATTAAAGCCGACCGCTATTCCTATTTTTCCTACAGCCACTTACTTTAGCAGCGCCTTGTTATATTTTGGGGAGACTTACATGTTTCGTTTTATTATCAAAATGAAGCAAAACTCTCCTTCGTAACGAAGTGATTACATAGTTATAGTCCTCTGTACTAGTTTTGCAAGGTTGAGTTTGAGTAGAGATTCATTTAATTGAAAGCTATTTCTACAGAAATAATTAATTGCACCATAAAATACCAAAACCAGAAAATTAAGCCTTAAACTTGAGGATTAAAGGTGACTACTCAACTCGCATCATTAGTTCGGGTGACTTGAGCTTCCACAGCGCAGCATTACAGAAGGAAATGCACTCTTTCATTTGCTCCAGAGCACATGGAACTCCTCGACTAGCCTTATTCTCGTTGCTGTCGTCATTCCACTCTACATGCCTCACCTCGACAAGGGTTCGACCGTCAACCTTCACATTTCTAACTTCCAATGCTCTGGCGTGGTAGAGCCAGCTATCATCATTCGCCATCATTCATTCGCCAGGGCGATATTCACCTTAGATTAAACGCTAAACGAGAAACGAATTCGTGATATGTGGGCACAAATACTGCGTTAAGCCAGCCTTGGGATGAGTACCTCAATGCAAAAGCCATTAACTTAGTCATGAGGGAATGACATTGATGCTGATGCGCCTTAATTTTCACTAAGTCCACTTCTACAAATTTCAAAAATATTTCTGCCCAACAACGCAAACTTTAGTGGTTTCCGCTTCTGCAACAGTCGGTTTGTCAGCACTTACATCAAAACATTTGTTTGACGTAAATTACAAAGAACCCAATGCCCGAAATTATGGCAAGTTAGGAGCTGCAAACAGCCCCTCTATATTTGTAATAAACTCATTAGTAAAAATGCCATTGCAATTTCACTATAAGTCTAAGACGACAAAAAAATAATTATTTTACCCTAGTTAAAAATGTTTCAATATTGAGAAAGGTTGTTCATAGTCATAAGATTAGGTAAAAGCAAATCAAAATAGGGATTTAAATGGAAATCAAACAAAATAATGTAATCGGAAGGTGGATAAGAAGTAAGAAGGTGCCCTCCAAATACACGATTCTCCTTAGAGGTTCGCCTTCATTCCTCACATTCACCCGACATCTGACATTTAAAATGCTTGCTCGCCCAGCGTCCTGCACCACTCATAGTGAAACAAGACATTCTAACACTCCACCTTCCAAGTGGAGGATGTTTCCGCAGTAAGTAATACGTGGAAATGGAGGTTCTCATGGCTAACATCACATTGGTGTGACAATGCGTTCCACTTGACTAGTCGCACTCTAGTGATGCGCCCTCCAATACCGTTTAGTTTGCACTCACTAAACATGCGACGGCACAGGGCGG